TTATTACTTCTTGTGCAAACCTGCTATGTTGATTAGGTTGTGATTTTCTCTCTCTCTCTCTCTCTCTCTCTCTTCTTCTGTTGCACTATAGAGTGCTACAGTGCTAAAATCCCCTGTTCCCCTGTTAAAATTCTCCTGTTGTCCAAATGTAAAAAACTAACTTTCAATGTCACATGGTTATTTGGCATGTGTTAGGTCACCCTAAAACTAGAGCTTTCATCACTCATGGAGGAACAAATGGGATTTACGAAGCCATCTACCACGGAGTTCCCATGGTGGGCATCCCAATGTTCGGTGACCAGCCAGACAACATGGTCCATATGAAGGCTAAAGGAGCTGCAGTTATTCTCAATTTGAACTTCATAACAACGGAAACGCTTAGAGACGCAATCAACACAGTCATCAATGACAAATCGTGAGTTCTCTGAACTATCTGCACTTTGGATTAAGTACTGAAAGCATAGACTGTAAAACAAAAAAAGCATTCAAAGAAAGGATGAATGTAGATTCAGAGTCTGAAAAGTGAAGTCTGCCTCTGCAGAAATCCATACAAGAGGATATACAACCCTATAGCTCTTTCAACACAAAACGCTCCTAAATTATGGTCACATTTAAAATAAAACAGATGTCAACACTTTAGGACATGGCTACTTTGCGTCATTACCCTATGAATGTGCAGTAACCTCAGATTCTCAGTTAGTCATGCTCAAGTCAAGGCTTCAAAATAGAATTTTACTAATCTGTTATTTGTCATATGGGCAATTTTATTTTTTTATGTACAGTAAATGATTGAAGCTGATTTTTTTTCTTTTTTCAAAAACCTATATCCACATTCACAGGTACAAAGAAAATGCTATGAGGCTGTCCAGCATCCACCACGACAGACCCATCAGTGCTCTGGAAGAGGCAGTATTCTGGATCGAGTTCACACTGAGAAACAAAGGAGCCAAGCACTTGAGGGTCCAGGCCCATGAACTCACCTGGTACCAGTATCTCAGCCTGGATGTCCTGGGCTTCTTCCTCACCATAGTTCTACTCATCATATTCATCTTCATCAAGACCTGCAGTTTGTGTTTGAACAGGTGTTGTGTCAGGAAAGGAAAGACAAAAAAGAAGGCTGAATAACAGACTGAACAGAAACGGTGCTGTGAGTGTTGGACTGGGGCAATATTTGTTACCTGCATGAAACTTTCTTTCATATATGTTGAATTCCCCATCATCTTCTCCTTTATGTATCACCACTAGCTACATTAACAGATGCACCAATTTGCAGAAGTGTACCTGAAGTTGATCTGACATTAAAAAGAGGTTTACACAAGCATATACATTTGAATAACAAAATATCTGATGTAATGTGGCTTTATTGTCATGTAATACCACTTAAATGGTGCACTGAGTCAATGTAGCATGTTCTCTGCCCTGAAAGATGTAGGTAATACAATGCAAAGCACTGGTGTCCTAGTCAATGGGACAGCAAACAGTGACTTGAACACCTTGAACATGGCTCTCATCACTACCAGATCCTCCCAGAAGATAACATGCTCACTTCCAAAGAAAATAACATTGGAGCAGCTTACAGCTCTTCAAGAGTAAAATGAATCAATGATACTCAATTAACACCATTTCTTGTGAACTGATAAGATAAGAAATGTTGTTGCCTATGATGACACGTAGGAATAGCAATCTGTTACTGACAGTTCAAATACATTTGCTAAGATAGCTTTTCGTGAAACGATTTCATACAAACACAACTGCTATTCATGATTAGCTTAATTATGTCAGAGCAAACTGTGAATTTGTTTCTATTTCATGAAAGTGTTGCCACCTGGTGGTGAAAGTTTTAGGTTCATTTTTGCTGACGGTAATTACAAATAGCACACACATTGGTTCAGTTATGTGGATCTGGATGACACCTGGTGAAAATCAAATCTCAGGACTTACCACAATTCACTGATCACATTAACTCCGTGGACCAACATTTAAAATTCACCAGGTAGGATATGAAAAGTAGCAGGTTAGCCTTCCTAGACTGTGAGATTTCCATCAGTAATGGGGGGCATTGAAAAGTCGATGTGTACCATAAACCTATCCATACTGATCAGTATTTAAGCTTTGACGCTCATCATCCATTGGAGCATAAACTGGGTGTCATCAGGACGGTACCACACAGAGCAAACACCATCCCCACAGACACAGCAGCCAGGGAAGCAGAAGAACATCACATCAAGAAGACCCTGAGTAAATGTGGTTATCCCAGCTGGGCATTTCTCAAAGCTGGGAAGGCGCCTCAAGAAAGCTCCAGCCAATAAAGGAGAGATGGTCAACTGCCACCTAAGCAAAAACCCTTAGTGATCCCTTATGTGTCAGGAGTATTGGAACAGTTGAGACGCAATTTTTTTTCTAAACGCTGCATCTCTGTGGCTTTTAAACCCCAAAACACACTGTGCCAAAAGATTGGTCCACCCAAGGATTGGGTCCCCCGACACAAACAGAGTAATGTAGTGTACGCTGTTAAGTGCCAGTAGGATTGCCAGGATTTATACATCAGAGAAACCAAACAACCTCCAACTGTAGCCAATCCCCAACTCTCTGTGAATGGTACTCTTGGCCATTGGTCAATGGTCATTAGAGGATCAATAGGGTGCCCATGACCCTCTAGGGGACACTCCCACAGGGCTTAAAATCTGGGACTCTCCACCAATTGTTCTTACAACTGAAGAAGCTTCTTGGATGAGAGATGAAACATCTTCAAGGAAACTTAAAGAAGTTCAGACACTTTTCCTTGATTTCAGTCATTGTGCAAATGTACTGTTTATAAGATCGGGGAAACCTGCTGTCAACTGAGACTGAAGAAATCACTTGGATGAGTGACGAAATGTTTCTCCCACTGAAAATGACACGTCCAGATGAACAGAATCAACCTTTTGGAATTTACTTACCTGGATGCTTGAGCATGCACCAAGATACAAATAGCACAATTAAGATACTCTATCTTGCCAAATGTATTTGCATTATTTCCCATCTGCCTTCAAATGTATATGAACTTGAGTGACATCTCATTCTTCATGGCGCAGGGTCAGTTGTTTGGACCCAGTCTTCTGCCCATTGCAGGCACTGTGGCACATCTTTTTGAAAATGTCGGGGTGCTTCAAATCGTAAGATTTTTGGGGGGCAGCTATATTGCCATTTCATCACCATGTCGAACGCAGGCGACTTGGCGCTCTTTTTTGGGTAATGGAATTTCAGTTCCCATTAGATCTCTTGGGCAGAACCAGATCTAGCTGCAGTCAATATAAGGGTGATAATGTGGGCTGTCTAAATGCAGTCTTGGGAAGTGATTTAGTGGACTATCACTACAGCGACAACGATGACAAGCCAGCTTGTCATCGTTGCACTTATAGACATTTTGCCCATGTTGTGCAAAATGGGGCTAACAGCCATTCATATGCCTAAATCTTAAAATCTCTGTGTGGGAAACACGGATTTGTTTGTTTTGTACATCTCCAAAACATGAATTCTACCTAACCTAACTGATTTGCTTAGTTTTGTTCAGTTGAGTTGCAAATAATTCAGTTCAAATAATGATACTCAACAATGATTGTGCTTAATTATCTAAAGCTGATGTATGAATGTACTGAAAAATATTGTTAAAGTTAAAATACTCAAGAGTAATAAACTAGTACAGTTTATGAACATTTTACCGATGGGCTTTTTTAGACAGAGGATTTAATTATTTCTGACATTTCTGAATTGGATTAAAAAGTTATAATCAGAAAACACTCTGTTTTAATGTTCTCCAGTGTGAGCATCTCTAATCTGAACTAATATCAGCCTTCACTGATAGCCAAAGCTCTCTGACACCGGTCATTGAGAGTTACTATTAAACCCCATTTCACATTTAACTTTCAAAGTAGCATTGCAAATATCATCAAAGGCAAATGTGCAATAAGAAAACCCTGAGCTTTTGTAGAGCCATGAACATGTTACTCAGCTACATTTCATCTTGAAAGGATCTGCTCAAAAATCAGCCACTACGAACGGATCCAAAACAGATCCAGACCAGATGAGCTGTGAAATGACACATCTGACTGCGATCATGATCCTTCCCGCTGTGCAAGTGGACCCGGTGTTACGAATCCGGTATTGAGCCTGTGGTACATCCGGGGCGGGTCCGGTCCGGATCAGTCAGGGAAGTTTTAGCCGATTCAGGCCGGTGTTTACTTTCGGCGGTGTTGAGCTGTTCTGTCACCTGCTGTCGCGATTCACCGTCTCTTTACTCTGGTAAGCTGCGCTTATAGACATTTTTATTTTAGGGAGCTCGGTCATGTCTCCGTCAGCAGCCCGAGTTTAATGTCTTCCGGTATTGTGGTCACGTTAAATCAAGGTTGTATAACGGCCACAACCAGTAACAATCTTCATTCTCGAAGATTGTTTTCCTTACTTTCTTGTTTGTTTTTCCGTGTGGCTTTGTTTGTTTTTTCTCGCTTGTGTTAATCGTGACAGAAACTTAATTTCTTTCGAGGGGAATTTTGTTCCATCGAGCTGCTGGTGTCAGGTTCAGGCAGCAGGCTAATTTAGAAATTGTTTACTTGCACACTAGATGTATCCTGTTGAATACTTTGTTGAATATACTCTAGTTTTTTATATTTTCAGATGTGATACGGTTTCTTGGACATCTCATAAAGAAGTTTGGTGAATTCAACATTTGAAATGACTACTGTTTTGTATTACTTCACTCTGCCTCTCCTCAACTAACAATTACAACATCAGGCTTTCATATCCTTTTTATTTCTTTGATTCTCATACAAGTTAGATGTGACTCTTGTTTTTTCCCCCACTATTGTCAAGTTTACTATCATTACTTTATAGCCCATTATGAAATGACCAATGCAGTACACAAAGAAGTGAGCCAGAGTTCACCTTTATTGAGTTAATGATTATTTTTCCTGGAATGCTTTCACCAAAGGATCAGACCACAGCTGGTTTTCCTGCTGACATTCATGGAGCTGCGTCTCTCTACCTGCATCCTGCTGGTACTTTGTGTGACATCGAGTGCAAATGGAGGAAACGTTTTAGTGTGGTACACCGAAGGCAGCCACTGGATAAACATGAAGCCTGTTCTGGAGACGCTGGTTGACAGGGGACACCAGGTGACTGTACTGGTCCCGAGCTCGTCAATGTACATGAACACCAATGAACCCGCCCGCTTTCACTACGAGCCCTTCAATGTCACTTTCTCATTGGAGGCTATGGAGGAGTTTCTAGAAGAGTTCCTCCAATTCAGTGTATATGAGATTGATTATATGAGCTACTGGGAGCTCTACATCAGATTCACTGACATAATGAAAACTGA